TTCACACTGGGTGCAGTGGAGCATGCCTTTAATCCCAGTGACCTGGGAGGCTGAGTCAGTAGGATCTCAAATTCAAGGTTAGCCTGGGCAACATAGTGAGACCCTGTCTCAAAATAAGAACTAAAAGGGGTTGGGGATGTGACTCAGGGATAGAGCACCCCTGGGTTTAATCTCCAGTACCAGAAAAACAACCAATAAAGTACAATTGCATTGCTGTGCTACCATCAGCATCATCCATCTCTAAAACTTATTCGTCTTCACCACCTTGGTACATTAATGACCCAACCCCTTCTCCTGGCTTCTAACAAATACCATTCCACTTTCTGGCTCTATGAATTTGGCTACTCTAGGTTCCCCTGTGAGTGGAATCATATGGTATGATCCTTTTGTGTCTGGTTGATTTTACTTAGCATAACATTCCTAAGGTTCCACCATGTCGCAGCATATGTCAGTATTTTCTTCCTTGTAAAGACTGAACAATATTTGGTTGTATGTATATACCATATCTTGTGGATCCACTCATCCATGGATAGACACTTGGGTAGCTTCCACCTTTTGGCTGTTGTGAATAATGCTGCTGCAGAGCATGGATATTCATATGAATATAGTATATATATTTCATATAGCATAGTATTCATATAGTATGTAGTATATGTACTATATTCATGTATATAGTATATATCATATACTATACATATAGTACATATGAATATAGTATTTGATATATAGTATGTGACATTTATATACTCTATTCATACATATATATAAACTATATGTATACACTATATATGTAATGATAGTGTAGTGTAGACTATTATTATGTGCCTGCTCATGCTCATGTAACTGTCATTAGTTTCCTTCATTATATGAAGGCTGATGCTGGGACCATCCTGTAGTGATATATTTTACTTCCTGTGTTTTCCTGCAGACACCACTATGTGGATTATTTCCTGTCATGTGTCCATCACACATGGCACATGATATGTGTAGGCATCTCAGGTTAGCTTCTGTTCTAGTCCCTTTTATTTAGGGAAATATTTGAGAAGAGTCCTAACTGCTTAAAAATTAAAAGCTGGGAATTACCTGCTTGGGTTAGAGTCAACCAAAAAAGAAAGATGTGAACAACGAGACCGACTTCAAACAAGCCCATTACTACTTGTTTCAGACGCATCCTGGAAATGCAGCTTCCGCCACTCTGTGCCAGGCTGCTCACTGCCGTTTGAACCTGTGTCAGCTTCCTTGTTGTTTACAAGGCAAGGGCCCCAGTGGTGATGCCTCCGTGGTGAAGAGTGTATAGGGCAGCCCCAGGGCTGCTATGGAGAATTCGGAGATTCCAGAATTGACTTCGTTTATTTTTCTCAATCTGAAGATCAGGGATCCTTTGAGGTGTTAAGTACTGGGCACCAGTGCTCTCAGATGCCTGACTGCTCCAGGGAGACACTGCAGCTCAACTTCCCACAGAGTGAGCCTCCTCTCCTCCTGCTCCTGACACCAGAGAAGTGTTGGTGACATTGCAGAAATGAAGCAAAGTCATCC